GGCTTCCCTCCACCACTTCATCCTTGTGCCATCACCACAGTCCAGTGCGCTCTTCCCACACCACTTGATCCTTTTCTCCTCTCCACCCCCGTAAAATGTCTCTGGGTTGTAGTTGTTCTTTTTTTTTTTTTTTTCATTTTCACTTTATTACATTTGCTTCCCCCCAACCCCTTACACTCCTGCTATAAGTGAAACCATCCAGTATTTTTATTTTTCTTTCTGGCTTATTTCACTAAGCATGATCCCTTCCAGCTCCATCCACGTTGCTGCAAAAGACATGTGTTTATCTTTCTTATTTGCTGAGTAATATTCTATTGTGTATATGTACCACATCTTTTTAATCCACTCATCCACTTTTGGGCATTTGGGTTGGATTGGAGGAATTAACATCATTAAAACGGCCATCCTACCAAAAGCGATATACAGCTTTAGTGCTATTCCAATAAAAATCTCAATGACATTCTTCAAGAAATAGAACAAATATTGATGATATTTATATGGAATCACAGAAAACCTCAAATGCCCCCATCCTTTCTTAGGTTACTGCATGGCCCTGCTCATTCCCCAGGCCTGCAGATCTCCAGAGGAATTCTCCAGGCCTGCCAGCTATAGTGACCACTCCCCACTCCCAACCTTCACTGCAACTCACAGCCCTGAGTGCCCAATGCCTGGAGCCTGTCCTCACCCCCAGTGGCTGAGTTAATGCCTGTGTGTCATCCCCTAGCTCCTTGCCTCAGACTGAACCTTTCCAGTCTCCACTGTGTCCAGCCACTGGCCTTTGCTGCATGGGGCCCTCTGCATGCCTGGCCCAGGCATAAATCAAATGGGAAAAGAAAAAAAAAAAAAAAACAAAAAAAAAAAAAAAAAAAAAAAGAGCTCAGGGCCCTCCATGGTGGCACAGCAGGTTAAAGCACAGCACTAAGATGCTAAAGCCACTTCAACATGAATTCAATCCCCACCCCAGAGGTGACCCACATGGCGCGGCAGACCTCTTCCGCCCCGCCTGCTGCTCCCGTCAGCAGTGTACTTCATCCATTTGCCTGTTCTGCTCCCCACTCTGTCTCTGGTGAATCCTCTCACCACCCCGCACCTCTGGCCTGTATCCCAGTTCTATATATATAAATAAATCTTTTTTCTAAAAAAAATAGAGTCAGAGCTCAACTTTTCAAGCTTAATTTTTGTTATCCCTCTATTTTTATTATATTCAAAGCGATGGGATATTGGAAAGTCTATGCTATGGAGATCTAGCTCGACACAACAGCCAAAGGCATTAGCAAGAGTTAGCACAACTTTCTATTTTATTCTCAGCAATGACCAAAAACCAAAAATGTTTCTAATTTCTTTTCAGCACCACCTACTTCTCCGCCTCATTCCCACCCACCCTGGGCCAAAATTGTGTGATGAAAGATTTTTTGTGCATTATTATCCGTTTCTGAAAACCCACTGTTGAGACAAGTGTGTGGGCTGGAGACTGGGTCAGATCTAGCTCTACGGGGTGTCACAAGGTTCTTTCAACAAATGGGCCTGTTGTATCATGTCAGAAAGAGAAGGTAATAGCACCGCCTAAAACTTACCATACCCAGACGCTCCACTTTCACCCTTCCCTCCCCCAAATCTATTCTTCCTTAAGATCTAGCTCAACCAACCAGACCACACTAAAGTAGGAATGACTTAATAGTTGTGTTTACTTCTTTACAGAACACCCATGGGAGGGCCCAGAACACCCAAGGCAATGGGTTATGTAGCTTAGTTGGTGGGTTGCAAGACTTAGAGAAGACTTAGTTGGTCTCCAAGTAGCTGCCGCCTCCTCTTTCCCAAGTCGCTTTTAAGATGGACACTGAAGCTGGTTTTACAAGTTGAGTGAAAGAATAAGAAATCCCAGCACACTTTGACACACTTACAACTAAAGTCTTCATTTCCTTTTCTTTCTTTTCAAGTCCCCCTGCAAAGGGTTAACACTAAACAGGGACTTTGTGTGGTCAACAGTCACCAAAAACTTGCAGAGATCACTTCTCTTTGGAGTGGACTTTTGAACAGCCTTGAATGTTCCAAGGCCACATAATGGTGGTGGTACAAAATCTACTAACCTAAAGTCTTAAAAAAAAAAAAAAGAATCAAAGCCAAAAGCAACTTTGCCTCATTTATTTATAACATCTTCATGGTTAGAAAATCAATGTCCAATATGAACATTTGGTAGACAGCTTGAAAGACAAATATCAGTAATTATTAAAGAGCATGGTTAATAAATTTTCCAAGTAAATGCTTGATAATATTTTCTAGGAAGCTAGTTAAACATCAGGTGTCCAGGGCGGAAGGTGCGGAATGTCAGCTGGCTCAGGAAGTGGTCACTTAGCAGCGCTTTCCACTTGGCAAACACCCGGTAGCCACCCACACAAGGGGTAGCACCCATCTTTTTTACCCCAGGTCCAAGATGACCCCAGTCTTTTCTGCCACGGGAAAGAGAATGAACCACTTTAAGAAACTTGGATGGCTCAGTTCCAGGGCGCTGATTCAAGCTGGGAAGGTAAGGCTTCCCAAAAGCTGTCGATGAAGATTGGTCACCAGGGGCTGGTGGACAAGAGTCAAACTAAGCTGGTCTGCACTTCTTTTTGTTCCATACAATTAGTTATTCTCTTCTTTAACGCTCTCCAGTTCCAACTGTTTATATTTTACGTATATTACGAGGTGCCAGTTCAATTGTCAAATGTGAACTTTGCCTGGTGTACCCTAAACCAGAGATCCCTAAACCAGAGATCCCTAAACCAGAGATCTTTTGGACCCATCTGACTTCTAGGCCAAACAGGTATATATATTCACCAACCTCAAAGTTTACATTTTCACTGTAATAAATTAGTTTTACTGTTATAACACCTGAGGTGGTTGCATCTGAGAAATCTGACCTAGTAAACTAACTTAGAACTAATTTCGCCCTCTGTCCACCTCGACCAACCCCAAGAATCAGTAGAGCTTTAAATTCATATATATATTATCTAAATTATGCCACTGTTACCATTTCTTACCTAAAATGATAAATATGTAATTTTAAGCACCAAAGCATACTTCATTCAAAAGTTACATCCAAAATATTAACAATCAATCTCATTGTTATAGTTCAGTTTAAGTCTCAACAATGAAATCTCTACATTAGAGGAATGAGCAATGCCTTGGGAGACCTGACAGACCCCATTAATCTCAGGGTACTTAAAGAGTAGCCCACAGGTCTTGAGGAGGACAAGGAAGCAGAACTGTGGTCAGGGAGACAAGACAAGTTTAACCAGGAGTTCCTTGGATCATTCATGGAAAGAACTGACAGCTCACAGTGGGAAAGGCAGATAATAGACTGGCCTTTCTTCTCTCTTAATATCCCAGATCTATTAAGCAGAGGAAAAACACAGATCCACTTAGAGAAACAGGTGGGAAGTCTGTATTCAATCATCTGTCCCACAAGTTACTGAACCAGATCCATTATGACCTGGGCTCGTCTCCAAAATAGGATTCAGACGCTGTAATCACAGTAAGCGTTCCAAGGATATGTTAGAGCCTGGCTGACATTAAACACAAAGGATGTTGGACAAGCAGTGCCCTCAGTTCTAGAAACAAACTTTCATGATAACAGAACAACAGTAATTTATATTTCCAAGATATGATCTAGATCTTATCAGAAGTCATGATGGTTTCAGAGTAGGACTGAGACTGAAGCACTTGGAAGAGTTTCTAGACTGAACAGCGGGACTAGGAAATGTGCAAGGACATGTCCCCAAGCTGGCAGTCTCCCAACACTTGAATGTCACTGTGACAGCTAGGAATGAGGAAGCCACACCTAGCTACTTGCTTTTTCTCTCCTTGTGTGGCCCAGGGGGCTGAAATGAGGAAAAGGATCAAGCAATGTGGTGCAGGAAGATATAACGGTCAGTTTTGTGCGATTATATTTGTGCTTCCATGTCGGGACATGTTTCCATTGTTTCGATGTGCAGACATGAAATTCATTCCCCGAAAGAGGGTCCACATGGTTTTATCCCAGTCAATGTGTCATCTGACATGTCACCCCTCGCTGCTCCCACTGCCTCTCAGGACCCAGCTAGAGAACTGACCAATGAGTGTTCTCAAATCTCTCATGTTTTCACCTTTCCGCTGAATCTGAAGTCCGCAGCCAGTGTGTATGTCAGTCCCACTTCATGTCCCACAACTACCAGCTGTGACCACATCTTCTCCTTCCCTGCAGCCATCTGAAGAAGGAACAGTCTTTCCAGATTGTACTGCTTGCTCGCCAGCAGCAGGTTGAAGGAGTTCCATATAGCAGAGGTGGAAAGAGTAGGAGGTGGAATTAACAAAAGAATTTTTGAGAGGTATAACCAAGAAGGTCAAGTGCTTTAAATAAACCTTTAGAGGTTAAGCCAGGGAGGAGATTGTACTGATTCAGGAAAGGTCAGGAATAAAGGTCAGCATGGCTCAAAGGTTAAGCGGGGGGTGGGGGTGGGGGGGGTGGAACACAGTGAAAGACTGAAAGTCGCACAAATTCCAGCTAGTCCAGGGGCCTAGGCCCCCTCATCCTTGGCTGAATAACCAAGAAGTTATTCCAAGCGTGCTTACTGGCAGGCGTTTCTGCAAGCTAGAGGACTCAAATTTAAAATAAACTAAAACAGAACAGAATGCAGTCTTATAAAACGGCTTCACAAATATAACTACCAAAAAGAAGTTAGAGTATTGCATAGAAAACTGTCATGTAATAGGCCTTATAAACCTAGGTCTTAATAACTTAAAAATTATAAAATAAAACCTACCCTTCATAGTCTAGAAGGCTACAACTGTGAACTGAGAATTATCAGTTTTGCAGCAAGACCCTAGAAGATGCTTCCAAGTTGTGGGCATCACAATTATATATACCCCTGGGAGGCTCAGGCTGAAGCCATCTAACATAGTGTGTTTATGAAAGGCCTACATGCACCCAAGCCAATTCTACGGTCTCCACGCTCTGCCTTCTCTGCAAAGGAGAGGTGACCAAAACAGGCAGGGACATAACATCACTGCTGCTGTTTATAAACCTAAGCTGGTGTTTTTTGTCGTCTTTTTTTCTTGCATGTTAGTCTATTAAGCAAGTTACATCTGCCTGCCCTTTTAAGTCAACTTTGAATAGCCAGTTTAAGAGTAAAAGAAACTGTTTTAGAAAAGCATTTGAGTTCATGTTGGCGACAGGATGAGAACCTCTTACCCCCCCTTGTAATATGTCTCAATTAAGTCTGAGTTGAAATACACCACAGTGATAGTGATATCATCCCTGTACATCCGCGCCAAGTCCTCCGGGAGCGTCAGCATTGCTGCCAGCCGCTCGGGATCCAGCTCCCCGTACTCGTTGCTCCCGATGGCGTGTCTGATGAGACGCGTGGCTGCGTTCTGGTCGGCGGCGTGGAGCCCCTTGGCTTTCTTCTGCAGCAGCAGGCTTTGCATGAGTCCCAGATTGGTGGGTCTCTGGGCCAGGGCTGGCTTGTGCTGACCCTCTTCAGTCAGGTGCTGCACCACCAGTCTCACCACGTCTTCGTTGTCCAGCACATCCCACAGGCCATCTGAGGCCAGCACAAGGAACTTGTCCTGGGGCCTGAGCCTGTGGTAGGTGACCTCAGGCTCAGCCGTCAGGTAGGGGGGAGTATAGTAGTGTGGTGGGGTGAACTGATAGATGTTGAGGGCCTCCGTGTCAAAGCCCCTGTCCAGGACACTGCGCTGTAGCTCTTTACTCCACTTCAGCTGGACATCCCCAAAAGCCCTGCAGGGCATGAGGATGCCCAGAAGCCTGTTGTCCATGATGACAGTCCTGTTCTCTGACTCAGGATGCTCCCTCTTCAGCCGTGACAGCTCGGCTTCATTCCAAGCGTTATGGTCTCGGGTGAGAGGCAGAGAGGACCACACGCCATTGTCCTCTTGGACACCGAGGATGGCTCGGCAGTCGCCAGCATTGGCCACATGCAAGTGAACTCCATTGACATGGGCCATGCAAGCTGTTGCTCCGGAGAACGCTACCTGGAGCGAAAGGTTTCTCGTCATCTCATCTTCCAGGGGAGCCTGGATTTCCAGCGAGATGTCAGAATCCAGTCTCTGGAAGGAGTACTTCAACGCTTCTTCAATGTTCAGTCCCATTTCCATGTGCAAGTCAAGCAGCTCCTGCCAGTAGACACGTAGGTGATCAAGGTGCACGGAGGTGACATCCTTGTAGATACTGTCCCCTGGGTGCTTGAGCCACTGCAGGATAGGCAGGAGGGGCTTCATGCTCTCCACTGCGCCCTCCATCTGCTCCAGAGTCTGCTGCGACATCAGTGACACTGCCATGTAGTAGAAGAGCCTCTCGCTCACTGCTTGAGCACAGGCATGGCCACCATGTCCATCGAAGATGCCAAACAGCAGCCCGCTGGTCTGCAGGCAGGACGCTGCCCCTTGCCGGTCTTCCCCTGGGGAATTGGCAGCCAGCTGGTTGCTCTCGAATCGCAAGACGGAATTAGGGACTTTGCCGACTAGGTCGAGAATCTTGTGGGCTGACTCACCAGCACGCAGCACTTCATTTACCTGCTCAGGGCTCAGCTGCAAGTGGAAATCATCTTCTTCCGTGGAAGTGTGTCTGCAGGCTTTCTGCAAAGCAAAGCCTGGACCTTTAAGGGTGGCTGGTGCAGGGGGAAAGAGGCTCCATTTTGACTTCTTCCTGTTGGAGGCACACCTCGAGTACAAACGTCGTCCCCCTTGTAGCGTGGTGATGCCGCTCCTTGCAGAATTTAATATCCAGTACGACACAGTACTTGACATTCTGCAGCTACACCAGTAAGTATTCCTTCAGCACAAAGGTTTTTGAACCTGAAAAATAGAAAGCTTGAGAAAGTTTCCATTTTAATTTTCTTAAAAATATTGACTCTGAGACATTTTCCCAGGTGGAATGGGAAATAGGATCAAAAATGGGGGTGGGGGGACAGTGCACTGGACTATGGTGGTGGCACATGGGTGATTTGGTGATGGGAAACCCACGGGGATTACAAGTGAGGTGGAAAAAGGCACAACATGATGTAAAAATAAACTATTGTATTATTTTTTAAAATTATTTTTAAAAATCCAAAAAAAAAAAATTGACTCCCAAACTTTGCTACTACCATGAACAAAGTGATTTAAGGTAAACCAGTGAAAAATCAATTTCACACACTTATCTAGATAAAAGAGCCATCAGACACCCTGCTTCACTTGCCAAAGTTCCAGTTGTTTATCAGAGTGATGGGAGCACAAGTCTCATAAGGGCTGGTGAGGATTAATGAAATTTGTCCCTTCCCCTCTGAAAAGGGGAACTTTTACATTAATCATTAGGTACATACTAGCCCAGATATTCCGTACCCATTTTTATATAGACCCCCGCGGCCACTACCACCACCACCAGAACCAGCCCCCTTTTTAGATAGCTGTAACCACAACTTTGACTCTGTTTTCCCTGTTCAGGGCATTTTACTTAGCTTTCACAATGAGTAATAATACCCCATTTTGGTAAAAAACCATTCACAATTTACTTAACCATTTTTTGTTGTTGGGGATTCAGAGGTCTTTCCCACTGGATATTTATAAAATACCCAACTACCCTCCCTTATGTGGCAACCTTTCCCCTACTTATTTCCCAAAGGAGGCATCAGTGGGTCAAAGGGTGTAGACTCATTGCCAAACTGATTTCCAAAAGGTTCACATTTGCCTCCACAAGGGCATGAAGGAAAGAGTTTCCTAGCGCCTTCAACAGCCTCTAGTGGTATTTTTCCTTAGACAAAAAAAAAAAAGCTGCTCTACTTTCTATTTCTATTTTCTCGGGTGACCAGGGAGGAGGAGTGTTTCCCACGTGTTTTAGGATTTCATTTACGTATCTGGTCCTCCCCAAATCTGCCTGTTGGGGTGTAACTGAAAACTGTTCCTCCTCCACCCAGGGTCCCCCTCCAAGCCTACCCCAGCAGAACCTGGGGCAGGAGAGGTCAGTCCAGGAACAAGAGGGTGTCCGCTCTCCTTACCCCCACCCCCACTCCCACCCCCGCACCCCGGGGGCCCTGCAGGGGAGCCAGGCAGCGATGTCTGACACAAAGCCGTCTGCCACGGCCTGGCCCCAAAAAGATTTCCTGTCCGTACAGAAACAAGTGGGTCCCAAGTTCAAGTCTCTGACCCACAGTTTCAAAGACAGGAGGGTGGCGCCCGGAGTTTCCCGAAGTTCGACCTCCTTCCAACACCCGCGCCAACCACCGCGCAGCTGAGCGCGCCCCGACGACCCGCTGCTTTCTGAGCCCCAGATTTCCAGCGGGTAAAACTGGGGACCGGTTCCGGACGCCGAGCTCAGCGGGGTGCCGAGCTCAGCGGGGTGCTCCAAGGACTAAAGCGGCTAGTGCGGGCGTCCTGGCGCACAGTCAAGGTTCCTGGCCCACGTGGCGCGAGGCGCGAGTGGGGTGACCGTGGCTGTGCGCCCTGCTCCCCTCTGTGGCCGCGGGCCCGCCCCCTCACCTCATCTCACCCGGCTCTCCACCCAGTCACCCGAGCCGACGCCGTGGGTGAGGGCTAGGAGCGGGCAAGGCCGGGGAAGGGTAGAGGCTTTCCCATCCCGCGCTCGAGCCGCTTCCTACCTCGGCGCCCCGCGCTCTCACCAGCCAGCACCACGGCCACGGGGCCCGTCCCGTCCGATCCGCGCGTGCGCAGACTGCCACGGCTGCTGCCACTCGAGCCTCAGCTCCGCGAAGGGGAACCCTCCCTGCAGATCCTGCTCAAGAAGGAAGCATCCGCACGCGGGCTTTTATTGGTTCGTCTGCGAAGGCGGGTCCTTGACGGACGGCGAGATTGCCCAATGGGCGAGAGGGCCGACCCGAGGGGCCAAATCCGGTTCCTCCCCACCCCACCCCACCAACCTTCCCCACTCCCAGTCACCCCCTCGGCTCTGCGGACAGGTAGGTTGAACTCTGCTATGGACCCGGCAGTCATAGGTCTAATCAAACCCACCACGTGACCGTCCCCCTCTGTGCACCCCAATCCACAACCTCCCCCATTCCTTACTGTTAACAATACTCTAGGGTTTCCCATCCTATGTGTGTGTTGGAGGGGGAGGGTGGAGAGGTGTTAGAGTCTTTCCTGAGTGCTACCCCCTGATATTCAGCCACCTGCACATTCCGCCCCCACCACCCAGACCCCTGGAGGTCCTAAGTACTCTTTAAACACAAATTATCCTGAGCACAGTTTCCGGGCAAACCTGCTCTTTCTCTTCTCCCCTAACCTTGTAAGAGCCCCATACTCTGCCCAGATCCCCAAGCTAGAAGCCTGAAGGTCATCTTGGCTGTTCCCCTTCTCTATTTCCCCGCTTTGTGGATTATCTAGTCCTGTTAAAATTATCTCCTAAAAAAACTCTCCAGTTTAAACATTTGCCTCCAGTTCCTCCAGCACCCTATTCTGATCTCATCTGGCCTCCCCACCTCCAACTTCTGCTTGGTCCAGCCGCCCTTGCTCTTCAGAGTGACTCTGCTGAAACTCAGACTCCAGCTTTGAACTCATTGATTCCCCATGGGGCCGTTGGACCTTGAACTGACAATTTACACTGGCTTGGCCATTGATGTTGACGTTAGTGGTTGGTTGGGTGAGAACAGCTGATAACCCGGACATCAGGTATTCTCTTGTTCCTATCCATTGTGGGATTACAGTTAATGTTTGCTTCCTTTTAACTTGTTTTAATAGGACTCTAATACTAACAGTGGGAAGTTTTCCCCTGGTGACAAAAAGACAGAGAGATCACCAGAAAAGGCCACTGAGGTCTGCTGGAAGACACACTGGCTCACCAGGGGAGGCTACCTGGACTCAAGGTAAAACCTCTCCTGTCAGACTTGCACTGGTATTTTTATACTGCCACTCACCCTTGACCCTTTCCAGTAGTTCTTCCAGTGAATCAGAAGTTAGACTGTCTTTCTTCCTGAATACTGAGAGCTGTTTCAATGTCAAACTAAAAATAAGTCTAAGGGATTCTAAATAAATAATACTTTTTTTTTTTGGGTAAAGCTAGTCCATTTCAGGCTTCAGAAGGCCATCCTTTAAGACAGAGTCGCACAGTTTCCTACTCAATCTGCGGGTTTTTATGGGTGCCTAAAATGTGAGTCCTGAACCCACCACTGCAGACACATGGAGTGCCGTCCCACCACACATTCCTGAGGTGAATAACATCGTTTCAATAATTGTGAAACCGCAGTTCTCCTCTGTTAGCACACAGGCACCACCTCCGGAGTAAAGATGTACCCTAGAGTTTGTGTGCATGGAACACTTGCTTAAAGATCATAACCAGCTCAGTCACCCTATCTATGAGGTCTAACCCAAGAACTCCATACGGTGTCCCACAGCTTCCTTGTCCCAAGGTTTTCTAAGAAAAAATGAAGGAAAAGGGTTATCTCTCCCTTGAGAAGGGAAAGCAGAAGTTCAGTAGCCATTTCCAAGAAAATGTGTGTAAAAAAAAAAAAACAACACTCCACCTTAGTCAAAACCAGGGAAATGGAATGAAAATGACATACTGATGATGTCAGTCAACACTGAAACACGACTGATATCTATCTCAGGTGAGTGGGCCTTGTCATTTATCTGGAGGAATGTAAAGTGGTGCTACCCAATGGATGCATTTTTGCTCTACTAATTCTACTTCTTTTAATTTATCCTAAAGCTGCACCTTGGAAATTCTCTGTATGAAACACTGTAAAAAAAAA